AAAATTAGAAAAAAATAAAAATAAATTTTTTTTATTCAATTAACTAATTAATTTATAACATTTATACGGCTTATTTCCCTAAATTAAACGCAAACTTACAAATATTTCAAAAATTCTTACCTATCGCGGGGATCGATACCTGCACCTGACGCACCACAGCCTAACACTCTGACCACTCTGCTACTCTGACTTGAAGTCGAGGAAGCAAAAGGGTTCTTATAAGCTACACTACACTAGCCGATACTGTGCCATTATTGGGCCGAGCTACGTCCCAATATTGGCAATTATAATTTACCATCATAGATACAAAGTGATAGACATTAATGTGTCATTCCTGGGCCAAGCTACGCCCCAATTCTGGCAATTATATTTTGCCATCAAAGATACAAAGTGTTTGCCATTAAAGTGCCACTAATGAGCCATTAATGGGCCGATCTTCGTCACATCACTGGCAATTGAATTTTGCCATTAAATATTGATCAACTTTGCCGCGAATGTGCCGTTATTGGGCAAAGCTACGCCCCAATACTGGCAATTATAATTTGACATCAAAGATACAAACTGTTTGCCAGTAAAGTGCCATTAATGGGCCGATCTTCGTCACATCACTGGCAATTGTCTTTTACCATTAAAGATTGATCAACTTTGCCGTGAATATGCCATTATTGGGCCAAGCAACGCCCCAATTCTGGCAATTATATTTTGCCATCAAAGATCAGGGTGGCCACAAGTTTCAGTTTATCAATTTCCCTGACAATTTACTGACATTAAAATTACTTTCCCTGACAAAATTATTTTTAAAGGAAAATATGAATGTTTACGGAAAATGGGTAAAATTTATGAATTTGAATAATTTCTAAAAATTACAATTATAACCCTTCCTGAATTCATTTATTTTTTACAATTTTTAACTAAACTTCATCTCTGAATCAATTAATTTAAATAATTTCCTAAAATTTCTTCTAGAATTCAATTATTTAAATACAAAATTAAATTTTTTATAATAATTGTAATTATATACATATAATAGTTTTTCAATTTTGAATAATTTCCAAACAATTAAAATTTAGTTAAATCTTTTAAAAATAATTCAATTTTTGAAAAATATAAATAAAAATTATCAAATTTTTGAAGAATTTTAATTATAAACAGGACCAAGATTTCTCAAAAATCTAAAAAAAAATCTCTAAAAAACGAATTAATTTTTTTTTTTAATTAAAAATTTTGAACTTGATTGTATTCTCCAAAATGTTAAAAAGAATTCTAAAATGTTGTTATTTTTGTATGTATGTATTTAAATTTTTGGAATTACGTAATTGAAAATACTGAAAACATTGAATTATAAAAAATTAGAAGCTAATTTTCATTAACTTTCATTTTTAAATTTACCTTTAAAGATTTTTCATTAAAATTTCTGATATTTCAATTATTTTCAAAATTTGCAATTGAAATTCTTCAAAATTTGATTTTTAAAAATTGTTGATTTATACTTGAAATGTTTGGAAGAAAAGTCGAAAAAATTCCCAATTTTTTTAATTTCCCTGACAAAAATTTTTTTCCTGACATTTTCCTGACTTTAGTGACAAAAAATTTTTTTCCTGACATTTCCCTGACTTTACTGACAAAAATTTTGTTTCACTGACATTTCCCTGACTTTACTGACTTTACTTACATGTGGCCACCCTGAAGATAAAAAATTTTTGACATTAATGTGCCTTTTATGGGCCAATCTTCGTCACATCATTGGCAATTGAATTTAAAAAAATTGTAATATCAAAATTCATGTTATGTTTTTAATATTTAATTATTATCTAAAAATTTTACTAGAATCCATTTTTAAATTAATTTTTACTAGAAAATTCTACGAGAATTTAATTATTTAAATGCAAAAATAAATAATTTATTGAATAAATTGAAAATTTCTTAATTTTTAGATAATAAAGGAAAAATTTTACTCAAAAAAAAGTTTCTGTTACATTTATTTAAGAATTTCTTTAATTGTAAAATTATTTGAAAACATTAATAACTTCTTTTTAAAATTAATACTTAATTAAACTTTTTCAAAAAAATTAATTCTTTAAAATTGACAGTTAAAAATATAGAAAATTCAAAGTTTCAAATATTTTAATTTGAATCCTTTTCAAGCTTATTCAATTATTTAAATACAAAATAAATAATTTATTGAATAACTGAATGTTTCTTAAAATTAAATTCTTATAAAAAATTTTACCAAATTAAAATGCCACTAATGAGTCATTAATGGACCGATCTTCATCACATCACTGTCAATTGTCTTTTGCCATTAAGGCGGTGTCAAAGTGGATTGGATTTTTGCATTGAGCTTCAATGGGAAAATCGCATCGACTTTGACATCCCCTTAAAGATTGATCAACTTTGCTGCGAATGTGCCGTTATTGGTCCAAGCTACGCCCTAATACTGGCAATTATAATTTGACATCAAAGATACAAACTGTTTGCCATTAAAGTGCCATTAATGGGCCGATCTTCGTCACATCACTGGCAATTGAATTTTGCCATTAAAGATTGATCAACTTTGCCGCGAATGTGCCGTTATTGGGCAAAGCTACGCCCCAATACTGGCAATTATATTTTGCTATCAAAGATACAAAATGTTTGCCATTAAAGTGCCAATAATGAGCCATTAATGAGCCGATCTTCGTCACATCACATCACATTTACCATTAAATATTGATCAACTTTGCCATGAATGTGCTGTTATTGGGCCGAGAGCTGGCCCAGTCTTAAAAAATTTGAAATTCTGACCATCGGCGCCATCAATGGCCCAGTAATGGGAGGTTTTGATCACCAATAATGGCCCAGTAACTACTGCCAATTCTCGGCAGACATTACTGCACCAATGATGGGCCGTTTTTGCAGTCTTGGCATTTCGCACTTGGGTAACATGTAAAAATACATTTAACTTTTCGCCCCAGGGTGCGTTTTAGGCTTTAACAACAAATATAAAAAATCTGACTAAAGATATTTAGCAAATTCCTTTTGGTACCTCTTCAGGGGACCCAGATAATGAAGTAAAAAAATCGCGGTGAGAATAAATGCAAAAAATATACTTAAAAGTTGATATTTTCTTTTACGAAAAAATTTTCAAAAGTAGGGCGAAAAAAAATTTAAATATGGACACCACAAAAATTAGCAGAATGTCACATAACTGCGGACATTTATTTAGTGTGATAACACCCTTCTATAATTTAAATTGCAATGCTCTAACTATTTCCGTTCGAAAGATAATGAATTTTAACTGTTTTCACAATTTAACTTTTCGCCCCAGTCTCCCCTATATATAAAATTTATTTTAATAAAATTTGACAGAATTTCTAAATGTTTTAATTTATAAAAATCATTTTCGCGAATTCAACTAGGGGAGAGTAGGCGACATTGAACCAGCGTCAACAGTGAACCACTTCAATTTTCTGAGAAATGACTGAGTGAAATTTTTTCTTATTCAATATATAAGTTAGTATTACCGAAGCAGACTATATCCAAAAATTTTCGGCACGTAGGTTTATTATTTACAAAAAAAAACTAAAAAAAAAAAATGTTTTTCACGTAAAAAATAAAAAATTTTGTGGATCATTGAACCACCTGAAAAAGCAAAGAGTTTTCAATTTTAAGAGTGGTAAAGTTGTCTGCTCTACTAATTAGTAAGAACAATACTGGAAAACATGCTATCATCACAATTGTCAACGAGAAAAACTTAAACTGTTACTTTTGCTACCTAACCTGAAATCGAAATATATTAATCTCCTATATTAACAAATAATAACTATTTAACAACAATTTTTTTTTTTTTTTTTTTTGAGTTAAAAATAAGATGGTTTACAATGTGTAAGTGGAAATATTATTTTCGAAGTAAGTTGTAGTGTTTTATTAGAGGTGGTTCAATGTAAATACACATCCTTCAAAATAAGAAAATTGTTAGAAAAAAATTAAATTTCATTATTTAATCATAGTAGTTTGTGTTCGTAGTGTGTATTTACTAAAGGAGTACTTTAGATTTATCTTGATAAAAAAACCTGATCAAAATTTGTAAAATTTAATTAGTTCTTTGACTTTATAAAAAACCTGGTTCAATGTAGCCTACTCTCCCTTATGTTTAAAAAATTTTAATTGCAATTTTTCAAAAACCTTTTTTGATGATTTATTAATTAAATTTTTCAAATTACAATATTTTTTGTATACTTTTACAGTAATTAAAATTTTAAAAATTTTAATTCAAAATTTATTGAAAGTAAATTATTTAAAAGAAATCTACTTTAAACATTTATTATTATTTGCTAAAATTTTAATCACAGTTCTTCTTATATTATAATTTAACTGCAAGAATTATATTATTTAATCTAACATAAGAAATCGTTCTTATTAAAGCAACACTAAAATATAAATATCATTATGATGAAAAAATATTCTTTAAAAGAGAAATAGTCTGTACAAGTATTTACTTGTGGTGTTTCATGGTTTCTAAGGTCATGTAAAATGACAACGATAGGATGAATGGTTTAATAACCGACACTCTAAGTTTTGTTTAGAATTTTATAGAAACTTGTAAAATAACGTATTTAAAAGTAGCAAATTTAAAATCAATACTTTTAATGTGTCAATTTTACAATTTTCTGTAAATTTACTACTCTGTAAGTAGGTAATATTTTTGTCTTTTTATTACCTACTTTTAGAGTAGTAAATTTACAGAAAATTGTGAAATTGACATAATAAAAGTATTAATTTTACAAAAGGGATTTTAAATTCACTACTTTTAAAGACGTTATTTTACAAGTTTCTATAAAATTCTAAACAAAACTGTAAATGTACAGAAAATTTTTTTACAGTGTATTTATTAAAAGTTTTGAATTGAAAAGAATGTTGACTAAAGTTAATTTTCTAATTTTCATTTTTACACATTCATGAAATGTATTTTTCTACTAAACTATCACATAAATATTTTTGTATTAAATTTTAATCCTTACCTGCCAAACATAAAATTTTAGCTTTATACATCAAGGAATCTCCATGCCATTTTATAGAGTAGCACTTACTAAGGTCGCAATCCGTTTTGTGCTTTGGATGAAAATTTTGAACGTTGTCGATTGTTGTTTTATAAAATTGTCTGTCAGTACAAAATCGACAAAAAATATGTTGAAAATTTTGAGACATTTTTAATTTTAAAATGTCAAAACATTTAAATAAGATAATTTAAACTTAATATTTAAATGAAAACGAAAATTATCAAATATTCTGATAATTTACTAAATATAGTTTAATACTTATTTTAAATAAATAATTATTAATTTTTAATTCAAAATTAAAAATTTTTTTTTTATAAAAACCTGAATTTAATTCAGAAAAGACCGAAATAATTATTCTTTAAGAACCGACACTGAGAAACGCTCGAATCGAAATGAAATGCAAGAGTGCGATCGTCTTATCTTTTCGTAATACAATTTTTCATAAATTGACATCCTACCTTACAGATGGAGTCTAAATCACTCTTTTCGATTATAATTAAACTATCTTTGTTCATCGAAATTTTTGTCCAACAAAAATCTGGTATTATTCTTGATTTTTTTTAATTCATTTTTTTATGAAATTTAAATCTACTTTATTTTCAGATTAAATAAATATATAACTATCTAAAAAAATTGAACAATTTTATGAAAATAATTTTTTCAAGTTTATGGGCATTTGAACCATGATGACGTCACACATTTGAAACTAATGCTTTGCACAAACTGTGACGTCATCAAGGTTCAAATCCCCTTATATACATGTATTAATGTTAAATTATCAAATCGAGCTAATATTCAAGTTTCATTTTAGATCTTTAAAAAATATACAGGAAATACTTTTAAATAATTTAAAATTTTTACTAATTTTTTAAAAATACAAAAAATTTATTAATATCTCAAATTGTTTGAAAAATAATTTATTTATTGTTTTCCACAGATTTTAGGGTTGTTGCAAAAGACGATAAATAGAAGAGCAATCATTTTTGTTCTTTAACGATTAGTTTTTTCAAAATTTTAATTAAAAAAAATTTTGAAATAAAAAAATTAGCTTTTCAAATTTTAATTCCAATTTGTAAAATAATAAATTGCACTTCTCTATTAAAATGTAACATTTTTTAGATTTTCTTTTCGCAAAGAAAACTGTTACAAAAAATGATTATAAGTTAAATGTAATATAATATATTTATATTTGTATAAAAATATGGAAATGTTCAAAAATTTTAACTTACCTGTTATTACAAAATCTACTTACGGACACATGAGTAAATTGTTCTTCATACATTAATATTTAAATGTTTACAGTCACTTAACATTTTATTTAAAATTATTAGACACTGACAATTAAAAATTCATTAGTAATAACAAAGTTGTTTTTAAAAAAAAGAATCTTGTTTTTCTTCTTTGTTTTTTAATGACTTCGACTAGTCAGGCCAATTCACTTTTATTTTAAACACTTGTTATTATTTTATTTACTGTTAATTGCACTTACGATTATTATTATATTTCATACTTTCCTTGTAATTGAGGTTACGTTTATGAGCATGCTATACTAAGCAACATACAACTTTAAAATTTGCTAAAAACATTTATTCTCCTTTTGAAATGACTCCTTTAAATACATTTTAAATAATCATTAAAATGATTATGTATATCATCAACAATTTTTACCATTTTTATTTTCGACATTGTTGACACTCATTCACATATATAAACATAACCTTTATACAAGACTCAATAAACTGAAACACAATACACAGGGCAATCATGTGAGCACGCTGACTCTATACTGGATTGTAAATGCTGTGAGCAGAACTTTTAGGTTGAGTCCACAATAGGCACTTTTCTTAAAACGATGCATACCATCTACATCCATTTCTATTGTTCGAACAATGGAAATCGACGTAGGGTATGCATCGCTTTAAGAAAAGTGCCTATTGTGGACTCAACCTTACCACGGCGGCCATCTTTCATTGTAGTAAAAGCACTGATCTCTGTATATAAAGGTCAACGCAGAATAGATCTGTAACCGGAACCCAATCGTAAGCGTAACCGTAAGAATGAGTTAAAGAAGGATAGGTATATTGTTTATCCTTCTCTAACTCATTCTTACGCTTACGGTTACGATTGCGGTTCCGGTTACAGATCTATTCTGCGTTGGCCTTAACTGGATGGGCGACTGTTGAAACTGAAAAATATTAGAAGACTGGAAACGCCACATTTTAGATGCCCACTTTTTCACAAATGGCGGAAATTTTTAAATATAAAAGTGAGATTGATATACGTTTTGCTGTATAGAAAAGTACTTAACTAATTAGCACATTTTTAAAATTTAATAATTAATTAACCGTCAATTACCATAAGTGGGGCTAAATTCGCTCAACCGATGTCTACTTTTTAAAATTCGATTAACATACTTTTTAGACAGAAATATTTAAGATTTACAATTGTTTTAGTTAATATAAATGCTAAACTTTAATTTAAAATTTATTTGAAGCAAATTCATTGGTAACTTTCTGTAGAAATTATATTTAAAACACAAGTGAAGAGGTGTAACCAGGGTTGCACGGTTGCGCGCAACTCGAAGTTTTTTACGTATATTACGTAAAAAATGTAATATACGTAAAAAACCTGTAATGAATGTAAAAAAAGATGTCGGACAATTTAAGAAGCGCTAAAAGCATAATATTTGAAAATTACACGTGCGTCGTCAATGTCATGCAATAAATTCGTCAGATTATTAAATATAAATTATATACAATGAATCGGCTAAACCAAAAAGGACAACCGATTCCCTGCGAAGAATTAGAGTTTGTACGTCAAAAAACAGAAAAAGGAAAGGCTATTTTGAAATGCTTGTTGTGCAAGAAAATTATTCAAACCTCATCTGCTTATAATCGCCTTATTGCTCACAAGTATGTAAAGTTTATAATTAAATAAATAATGTTTTGAAAATATGAATTATTAGGTTATAATTCATTATTACTATTTAAATGTTTAAAAGCGCATGATGAGGATGATTTTGACAGGTTTATGACGGGACAGTATATTGTATAGGTTATGTTTACGAATTCTATTTGTACCATTTGTACATAAATTTAGAAAATTTAGATAAATAAGTAGGGGAGGATGGGGCAAGGATAGTTAGTTGCTGTTATGCTTAGACGGCTTGCTCAAAAATCGCGTAATTCATAGTATATTCGCGTTTTAACACCAAAAGATGATTGTAAAAATTGCAAGTCAAGCTGTCGCCATTTGCGAAGTTGGGAGATTATTTTTGAAAAAAGTCTGTTTTGCTAAAATGTGAACGTAATGTTTATCATATTGTTTTCTACATTAGAGTTTCAGAATATTTATTTACGGAAGTGTTTTCCGGAGTGGAATTTCCTGCTGAACACAAGTATAGTTAGAGATAATACGGCACGGTAAAATTATGTTAATACCATTGAAAATTTTAAAACAGTGTTTAATTGTTCTCTTTGGGTTGATATACATAATGGTGCGGAATTATATACGGAAAACGAAGCTTATGACCAAGAAATTGGTGGTCGTCTGAAAAAAATTGGTTAAACCTCTGATTCTAGTTCAGATGAATTTTAATACAATAATTGCAATTCAGAAAATGTTCCATACATATTTTTAATACTTGGGATATCAATATTGCATTTATTTGGTAGACACATTCTTAAGGCCAAATCCAGCCCCGTGACACTTCAAGTTAGAAATGGGTCAAATGTTGAACGGCGTCCACCGTGGCGCTGGCTGTACTTTCAGGCCGACTTTTTTCAAAATGTGGCGGGAAATTCAAATAAAGTAATAATAATATTATTATATATTAATTGTTGCTTATTAATTAAGTAATATTTAATAGTATTAATAATTAATTTTATTAAACAATTAATAAAAATTAATAAATAATAATATTATTATTATTTTATTTAAATTTCCCGCCATGAGTTAGAAGACAATTTTCATCATAAATAAAATACTTCTCTCTTTTCTGAAGTTAATTATATTACAAAATATGTCTAAAAGTTACTGGATCAATATAATATACAAAAAAAAATATGAATAAATTCAATCTAATACATGAAAATTAAATATTTTCGTACTTTCCCATGCATTTTGAGAAAAGTCGGCCTGAAAGTACAGCCAGCGCCACCATTTCTCTAGGTGGCGACGATCAACTTTCATCCCATTATATTTTCATACTATCCATAGAAGTGTCACCGGGCTGGCCAAATCGAAATGTTTTTTCAACATTTCGACTGAAAAAAATACTTTTTATTTCTCGTGAAAATTTTATAAATTTTGAACCTTTTTTTTAAATTATTAAATTTCAATTATTATTAAATTGTTTTTAATCAAAATTCTTTTTATTTTTATTATAAATATTTATAAAAAGACAATAAGTAATTGCTTAAGTCATGTAAAACGTTGACTTAAAATCATAACCTCAATTCGTTCAAATAAGTTCACCGGCAATGTCAAAAGGCCAACGCAGAATAGATCTGTAACCGGAATCGCAATCGTAAGCGTTACCGTAAGAATGAGTTAAAGAAGGATAAACAATATACCTATCCTTCTTTAACTCATTCTTACGGTAACGCTTACGATTGCGGTTCCGGTTACAGATCTATTCTGCGTTGGCCTAAATAAGTTCATCTTATTTGACTATGAATACTTGGCGTTCTTAAGATGGGACTATGCATCTCAAAATCGAACAATTTACTTTTCCAAGCAAATGCTTAAGTTGCGGCTTAAGGCAATGCTCATTGCACGACTATGAATCTAGGTGGCAGCTTAAGTCCCTGCTTAAGAAATAGGTATCGACTATGAATACCGCTCTTAAATTTTGTATTCGATAAAAACAAATTCGTAAAGTTACAGATTCTACGTTTGTGAATTCGACATAATAGTCATTCTGCTCTTTTCATTCTGATACAAATGTATGCAACCCCTGGCCCCGTGTATAAAACTCAGCACGTAAATTACGGACGTAATATACTGTAAAAAACTATGTAATTTACGTCAGGTAAATTACGTACGCAACCCTGGGTGTAACCGCAGCCTAAAGGCGGGCGCACTCACAGCTAGTAGGCAGCATACAAATTTGAATTTACTGTCTCTTTCACTCTAATTGACTTTCTCTCTTACTCCAATTACTGCCTGCGCAGGCAGGCAGAGCTGTGAGTGCTCCATGACTCTATCTCTATCAGTTATAATAAGCGCCCCTAGCGGGGGAAGTGATTACTGGGGTTGTAAACAAGACAGCATGAAATATCGTGCCGTACAATTTTACAAATTTAAACAATGCATCAAGAATTAGCCTGAAAAATTTTCGAAGCCACAAATTAAAGAAAAAGAAGAAACATTGATAAATAAGAAATAGTTTCTATATAAGATTGTTTGTTCTGACAGTTGGCCAAGCTAGATTCATTCATTTCATTTGAAAAAAAATAGAGAAATTATTCATCTCTGAACTCGTTTTCCTTTCTGGTAAGTATTTTTGGTAATTTTTATTTTATTTTGAATTTGTTAATAATTATTTTTTAAAATAGGTATCCTTTAAATTAATTCTGCACTGCAAAAAAAGTAAATTGATAAAACGTAGTGTATATTTCATTGCACATTTAATACCAAAGGGTGAAAACAGTAAATTTATTAAGTTTAATATATATATTCTTTTAATAATAATGTAATACAATATGAGTGTACTATTTTAGATCGTATAAAATTACAATGTAATATATCGTCGTTGTAAACAGTTAAAATATTTATCGCGTGAATGGCTTTAATCTATCTTTCTCGACCAATAAGATAAGTTTGTATATACTTATTAAATGAGTAAGATTTATTAGCCCATAAGAAATTTTTTTTATTATTTTTGAAAGGCAGAATTTTATATGTTAGACATTTTATTGAACCGAAATTTCTTTCTGCGAATTTTTATTTACTATAGTTTTCATTTAAACAAATCTCTTCATAATAAAAATGATATTTACCAAAATTTCAATTACAATGAATTTTTAGTTGCTAGAATTTTTATTGAACAGAATGTCATTTACACGAATATTTGATATTACATAAAAAAATCTTTGCAGAAATTTTTTTTAGTCGACAGAAATTATGTTTGCGCGTCCAAACTAAATTTCTGTAAAATATACTTTTGTAAGTTTAAGATATCGGTAAAGTGGATATTTGCCCAAATAAAAATTGAAGTAAATAGAAATTTTGTTTAATTAAATATTAGTAAAGTGAAATTTATGTAATATAGAAAATTGCTAAAA